TTTTAGTACATTAAAATATAAAATAATTTTCATTCTCAAAACTAAAAAAAAAAGAAACCCCCAAACTCTTACTGACCTCTCTCATTCCTCTCAACCCTTTCTCTTTCATCTTTCTCACTCCAATCTTTTCTCTGTCATCCCTACTGTAGTCCCAATTGAAAAAAGCAGAAACATCCTACTGTAGCCCCAATTGAAAAAATCAGAAACACTTGCCGTTAAACAATCTTACAAAAAAATGATTTTATAATGAGTTTTGATCTTATAATTTTTGTCTTATCTAATTTTATCCAATTTTCACAAGCATAGAGGAATTGGTAATTGACCTGGAAAAAAATAAAAAATACTCGTTGTTAAACAATTTCTTACAAAAAATGATTTTATAATGGGTTTTTATTTTATAATTTTTGTCTTATCTAAATTTCACAAGCATAATGACATTAAATGAATTGGTAATTGGCCTGAAAAAAATTAGAAACACTCCTTGTTAAACAATTTCTTACAAAAAATGACTTTATAATGAGTTTTCATTTTATAATTTTTGTCGTATATAATTTTGTCTAATTTTCACAAGCATAATGACATCCGAAAGAATTGGTAATTGGCCTGGAGGGTTTTTTAGAGATGATTATTTAACATATGCAGATGATGAAATTAGAGAGGTTAGTGAAGATGGTGAAATTGAAGAGATCTTGAATGAACCTTTGTCTGAAGGTGAATATGTAAATGACTCAACTCTTTACAAAGACAAATTGTTTAAAGGCAAGTGTTTCTGATTTTTTTAATTGGAACTACAGTAGGGATGACAGAGAAAATGTTTGAGTGAGAGAGATGAAAGAGAAAGGATTGAGAGGAATGAGAGAGGTGAGTAAGGGTAGGGGGTTTCTTTTTTTTTTTTTTAAGTTTTGAGAATGAAAATTATTAAAATACCCTTAACCTTAAAACTTAGAATCCATGATATATAAGGGTATTTTTGTCTACTAAAATCCGGTACACATGTACCAACTGAAAAACAGTCCTATAAAAAAAATAGCTGATAAAAAATATAATAAAATAAGATATTTTATTTTTGGAAGGAGTTATTAATTGTTACCGTTATTATTAGAATTAATATGCATAGATTTATTTGAAGATGGTTAAGAAATATTAAGACAGTATTATTTTAATGTGCATATCAATTATAAAAATATAAGTTGTCTTATTATTGTAGCTTTTCCAATATCATATTATTTTCAAAATATCATTACATTTTTTCCTCTATTGCAAACATCTTATAAAATTTATATTTTAATAGTTATAAAAGTTGATTAATTTTTTTTATAACTTTATATTATATTTACATAATCTATTTATGTCTATCTAATAATATTCTGGGATATTATTAAAATAATATGTTAAATTATTTAAAAATCATTTTCATAATTTTATGATTGAGAGGTTACGAAATAATGTGTTTTAAACTATAAAATACTCCAACAATTCAAAGAACAATACAAATCACATAAACATGATTAGGATATGGCATTAGAACTATTGATCACTAGAGAGTTTTATAGAAGACTCAAGGGATATATGCGACAAAAAAATATACACATACATGGAAGAACTCATAAATTAGAGAAAAGAGCATAAATTAACATACTCTTTTGAAGGAACTGATCGAATAGACTTAAAGACCTGATCTTAGTGATCACATAATCATTCTTTAATCTCAAATAGATAAACTATGAGTCAGAAGGCTTAGAGAGAGAATACATGTTCTTTAGAAAAAGACTTTTTGAAAGATAATTTTCTTCTAATAATAAAACTTATTAATTGAAATTTTATTTATATATTTAATCTTTTAATATTAAAATAAATGACATTATTTAAAACATTATTCTATTTTTTAGATTCTCACATTAACCTTAAAAGAAAAACCCAAAAATAAGTATAAATGTTGTGGATCTCTTCAAAATAGAAAAAGAGAATTAAAAAATAAAAAATATAAAATATAAAAAAGTTATCGTAATTACGTATACAACTTTATATATATATATATATATATATATTTATTTATTTATTTATTTATAAAATACCAATATGTTAAATTCGGGTAGCGAATTATGACTTTCAATAGAATAAAAAAAAAGGTTAAAATTATATTTAGAAACGTGACTTATTTTTTCTTGAAGTTGTGTTTCTTAGTTAAATTTATCTATTTTCGATTTTCTTTTAAAATAATAATCATACATAATTAACCGGTCAAGAACCTTTAGCAATTGTGTTAATTGAACTTACCCCTTACGTAATCTTGCATAATCAGAAGTTAAAACCAATAACGTGAGTGCTCGCTTCAAATTCAATGGTAATATAGGCTTCTTTATGAAGGGCAAGTAGTCTAAGTGTTTAGCCCTAATAGTTGAGTCAAAACAAGAATTGGAATTGGAAAGCCAAGAAGAAGGCAAAAAATAGAAAAATGAGTAACAGATGGAATTGCCAAATTTGAAATAGGGCTTTGAATTTAAAATGCATGTGTATTGCAGTGCAGCACCAAAACAAGAGAAGAAGTGCATGTGACAAATTTCAGAGTGGTTGAGGCTTCCTTCTCCTCTGTTCAAGTTTTGTTTTGCAAAGTGAATTGGCAACATCAGACATGTCTGCTGCTAAAAATGATAAGGGAAATTAGAGAACATCGTAATCATGACAACAACACTGCAAGTTCTGTGTGAAAAGAGAAGTAAAATATGAGAAACTCAACACAGCTTATAATGTAAGTGTTTTTTTTTATAAGTGTACCTATAATCGGTTGATCAATATATTCTTCTATACTGGCCGACTGGTTAATTTTTCGTAATTGTGAAAATTTTTCCAAACAGATTTGGGAGATTATGTATCTTATAATCGGTTGGTTTACGTTGCATGGATGACCGATCGGTAAGAATAATATAAATTACTTTTTATAAATCTAATATTATTAATAAAATAAAACATATTTATGAAATTTTAGACTAATTGGATTAATTGTAATGAAAATCTTACTTCAAAGTAAAAAGATAAATGATTGTTTTTAAGATTTAAAACTGATAAATATAATTAACTTGAACATTGGATTTTTTTCACGTACAGAGTTATATAAAGTTGAAAGAAATAAAAACTAAAAAATACTACAAAAGGACCAAATAAGACAAAAAGGAATAGCATAAAATGTAAAAGAGGAGTCGTGGATCCTTACATCCAAAACAACAATAAGTATTATAAATTTGAAAAGAGATAGTATCTTTATCTCAAAAGTTAATTAACATCTGTCACCATAAGTAACTTTGTTTTCTAATTGGATCACTGATGCCTTTTCCAATACACCAACCTGTTTGGATTTTATTGAATTATCACATCAGATAGTGTTTGGACAAAGAATTTAGAGTGTTTTTTTTCTTTTTTTGTATTTTTAATTATTTTTCTTATTAAATATTATGAGTATTTGTGTTTGTATTATTGAAAAGTATGAAAAATAATTAAAAGTTCATTAATAATTAATGATAAAGATTAATTGTTAAAGAATTCAATTCAATTAATTGTTATTTTATTAATTTATGCTATTGCGTTAGACGTGTATTATTGTACAAACGATAAGAGGAATTACGTAATCACTTGGAAATGATTTAAACAGAAAAACTATTGATGAAAGAATTAATTGTTGTATAAATTAACACTACGCAAAGTTATTAAAATTATAATATACTCTAATGGAAACTATGAATGCAATAATCAATTGCAACACTACAAAACAAAACATTGACGTAAAACCTACGTACATGCTTACAGATGGCAAGACAAATAGAAAAAATACGTGGCAAATCGATCTTGGAAAATTAAATCTAATAATTTTGTTATCTTTTAAATGTACAAAACTATTCCAACTTTAAAATAGTTTTATACCAAAAATCGTTTAATAAATCATTGGTTAGTTTTATTTAATTCATAACAAGGTATATTAGAAAGTACGTATAAAGTGACGTGTCCTTTTCCTTTAGTATTAAACAATAAATCTTTTTATCTCAGGATTATGTTTAAAGTAAGAGATACCAAATAAACTTTTTAAAATGCTAAAGAAATTATATTTTAATATGATAAATAAAAAATTTAATAATCTTTATTTTTCTCAATCACTACATCTGAAGAATAAGGTGAAAAATGGATTTCGATTAATGTACAATATATTGAAAACGTTAACAAAAAGAGCATTGGAAAACAATTAACATTTTAAATATTTTAAAAGATAAAAAGAAGACAAGACGAAAAAATCTAAAACAAGAAAAATAAAATAAAAGTAAAAGTTAATATAAAGGAAAACGATGTGAACACTCAACAAATAAAGAAGAAAAAGTACGCAATTGAATATAATTAATAACCTTAGGTAAGAAGAATATAAAATAGAAACTTTACTGTATTTTAAATATAACTTAAATAGAGAGACATTCTATATTTGACAAAGAAGACGGGAAGATCGAGTCATTCATAAATATTTGTTTATTTAATTAAAAATTAATATTCGTAACATTTTTATTTTAACTCGAAATAGTTTTTGATATTATATCTTATGGAATTAAATTTAATGTATTGAAAACATAATATATTTTTCCTGCATTTGGTAAATAAAATAAAATAAATGTAATAGGAAATAAAATAGACGTGTGGGCCCTATTGGCACCGGTTCGCCGATGAAAATAGCACCTGAAAAAAAATTGACGGCCCATAACGGGCCCAGTCAAACAGGGCCCCACCCCAAGGCAGGGGCCCACGTCACAGTGGGAGAATTTACAAGATAACCCTCTCTCACCGCTTTCATTTTCAGTTGCAGCTTTTTCGCTGCACAGAAGGCGCACGCACAGAGAATCACACACTCCAATTTCTTCTTCTGCTGCTTTATCTATGGCGAGGCTCTGAATTTATGGGGATTGCGAAACCCTAGGTGTTCATTCACTTTCGTCGCATTTCGCGGACTCGTTTTCCAGGTGAAGTCAAAATGCGGTTCCTCGTTTTGCACTCTACCGATTTACTCTGGTTTTGTCCCCTTTTGGCACCTTCGTTTTCATAGTTGCATTGCATTTATGAGCGTGACTCGGTGGATGCGGAGAGAGAGTGCGTTGTGGTGTGTGATGTGACGATCATTCTTAATGCTTCCTTCTCTCTTCATTCATTATCAATTAATGCCATGCACTTAGCATGGTTGGTAAGCACTAATTCCACCCCTTTTAAATTCCTCGCTCACTCTTTCTCTTCTTCCAATCCCCTTCTCTCCTTCCATGCCACTGATGCTTTCGTCGTTCCAACTCAACAGCACTAGCAACGAAAACAACCGCATGTTCGTTTCATTATTATTGCATTTCTTCCTTCAATTTTTGTGCTTGCATGTTGTCTACTTTTATTTCTTACTATTCCGCTTCTGAGGACCCTGCTTTTTGTTTTCTCCAACGCCATCTCTCAAAGGAATAATTTTTTCTTCAGGTTATAGGGACTTGCTGTTCATGGAGTGGGATCTGTGGAGTTCGACGTATGACCAAGGTTTTTGTTTCTCCCTGTCTCCACTGCTATGCGCATTCTTGTTAGTTTGAGATGCTAGTTTCTGTGATGTAATTAATTGATCGTCTTGTGGGTTGATAAGTTCTCTGAATGTCGCGTTAGAATCACTCTGTGAAAAGGGCTTGTTTTCATTTTTGTGACGAATTTCGTCAATGACTCCGTGTATTTATTTTATTAGATTATATTAATCTATCCGCTAATTTTTTTTGTGTGCATACAGGTCTTTGTGCTTATGTAATCTTAAAATTGACATTTACTTATCTTATTAAAAAGTACTGCATAATATATCTTGAATTTATTTAATGAGATATCGAATAGATTTAGAATTTTATGAAAATTCGTTGATTTGATATAATCAATGGAAATTTTAAGGCTTAATTGCACTATTTGCCCTCAATTTCCCAATTTCGTCGGTCGTATCTCCAAACTGTTCTCTTTTTCCAAACTTTGAACCTATTTTCCAAAAAATATTTGCAATTTGTCTTTATTTTGAGGAAACGTAGTCTGTCTTAATTGTTTAAAGCAAAAATCACTACACAAAAGTTTAAAGGAAAAGTAGCCACAAAATTGTCTCAGTTGTGGTGATTTTTCAGTGTCGGACAAAGGTGGCTATATTTTGTAATTAGGGGGACAAAGTTCTGTGAAACTTTGGGACACAGTGTAATGAAGTCAAATTTTTTATTTATGGATTGAGTTAATAAAATTTAGTATAGAGTTGTGGAGCTTTTGAAGGGGTAACTTCACCAGGAGTATATACATGGTAACTTGATCCCTCTTATTCTCTTGTTTCCCCTAAATGATTGTGGACGACAGGTTTATTCGAACAAATCAAATTGCTTTTGACGTGTAATTTATTTATTTACTTTTCTCAGATGCGACTGGTAGTAATTACTGGTCACCGCAACATGAATGCGACTTCTACTTTGGGTGTGGCCCAGGTAATCATTGTTTCTTACTCCTTGACGCTTGGCATTTTTTGTGTTGTCCTTGTGTTGTTTTTACTCTGGCTTTCTGTTAATTTTGTAGATGTTATAGAGGAGGACGCGTTGAACATGGAATCCTGTATTCGGGTTTTGAGAATATTGATCACCAAGGCGGATACTGAGATTGAGGAACTTGAAAGAGATCTCTTGGTGCTTCAGAAGGAGTTGGTCTGTTTTGAGCATGAAAAATGGCCTGATATATTCTGTGGTGTTCTCAGTGAGAGAATCAGCCAGCTTGATGTGGCGATTAGGACTTTAAAGAATGATTGTGCTGATGAGGCTGAAGTGCAGTTACTGCTAGATAGTGAACCTGCTGGGACGCTTCATGAAATACTTGCCCAGGTTTGGAATTTGGAATCCGGTATGGAATTCAATTGTTTTATTCTGATGATTGAAAAAGAGGCTGCTACATTTACCCGTTTTACATGCAAACTGGGTATTCACCAGCCATATATTAGGGATTATTGTCTTTAATATTTTCCCTGCAAAATAATATGTAGTCTTTTGTTTTGAGTTTCTGTTGATAGTTAAAAGCTTTACTGTGAACAGTTTATCTTCTAAAGTTTTTTTGTTTTTTTTAGCAAATGGAGTGAGTTAAGGGTTAATTTGATCTGCAAAGCATTTTCTGTAATCATTTTTTGGAAAAGTGAAATAGAGAGGGCAATTCTTTTTTTTTTTTGCAAAATATTTCTATTAGTCTTGTTACTTACTAGATAAAGATAGCATTAAATGGTTTAAAAGTTTCCAGATACTGTAGCAGATATAACATTACAAAATCAGTGAAGTTAACTATTGTTTTTAATGTTTCTCTCATAAAATTTTAAAAAAATATGAAAATAAGATGCCATTTTTATGATTAAAAATTGAAAACAGAATATGGTTTGGGAAACCACACATTCCCAAGTCCTTTTTAAACTACTCATAATCATGTATTATATGCATATCAAAAGTGGGTATACTGGATACAACTAATAAATAAGACACCTAATGCAATGCAATCCTTGTGGAATCTAAATCTAAGAAGTTTATCTTAGGACTTCAGTGTCAGAACAATTTTGTTCCTACAATAATTCAGCAAGCTTGGTTGACGATGTTTGGTGTTTTGTCCTTTACAAGAATAAGCCTGTGATCTATGAACCCTGCATGCCTTGTGTGAAATTTCACCTAATTTTACTTGGAGCTGTAAGAGAAGGTAGAGGGAAGATTGAAAGTAGTTGGCTCTTTCGGAAGCATGAGATACTCCCATATATTCCTAATTTCTATTATTCAAATATTTATGCAGGAGCACATGACTGTCATGCAACTATTGATTATAATTTATACTACTATATATAATAAATTATGCATTGCACAACTGTACTTTTTAAATTTTAATTTAAGGATGGATTTTCTCGGCCTTACATTTGCTGGATAATCGAGCAATATATATTAATTTATCCCCTGCTTGCTATTTAGGAAATATATTTTACTCCCGTCTCTTTTTTTGTGTATCTTGTGGTAGTATAAGTATTTAACTGTTAACACTTGGTTTTTGAATGTAACCATCTTTTTTCCCTCCCTTGTCTTTTCGATTTGAAACAGTATCTAGATGTGAATGTCTTGAGTCCAGTTGTGAATGTTACTGAACATGCACCAGACAAAGATTCTAGCACCCTTAATATGATCATTAAGGAAGAAGGACAAGATCTTCATGGAACCTCAGAAAGCTCTGGAAGCTTGGAACTTATTTTGGAGATTCAGAAGTCAGATAATCCGGAAAAGATTGAGGTAGAGAAAGATGTTACTCTATTTAATTTAAAAACAATATTTTCCTGCATGCCTTAATCGAATTAGAAAACATTTCTTTTAAATAGTTAATTGCTGCACCAACGTTTTTTTTTGGAAATCTTTTAGTATATGGAACGTGTAATATTAGACATTATTTAAGAATAATGTTTATTTTATCTATTTGTGTGATGATTGATTGCTTGACATCTCATATGCAATTGCTTTTAATCGTACAAGTTTAACATAATGTGCAGTGATTCTTTTTAAGGAGAAGGCTGTACCAAACACATTTAAAGGATAACTCTTAAAAACCAACGACATTATTTTCTGTAAGAGAAAAGGGGAGTAAATAAGTAGGCTTTTGAACAGCTTCACACTTAAGCCTCCTCATCTTGAGCTAATCAATATAGGACAAAGAAGCAGGTTTTGTTTTAAAGGAGCTTTTTTAAACTGTCATTGTCAAACTGCTTTTTATTTTTAAGCTTTTCTTTAGAGCTTTAACTTTTAAGGAGCATTAAAGAAGGGATTCACATGACAGTGTGAACTTTTTTGGCTTTGAAACCTAAGGTAAATGGAGTAAATCCCAGCAAGTGATAGGCCGATACCAGGTTCCTGACTTTACGTTGAGCTTGCAATGGCAATCCGTATTGTTTTATTTTTACCGTTTTTTGTAGGTCTAACCTTGGTAGCCATTTTTAGGCATGATAAATTTGAATAGTATTTTTTTTTTCTTTTAAGGAACTATCTGAAGAAACACTTGTTAGAAGTCCTGATTTGGCGGGCATTATCCTTGCATCCTACCACTCTGATGGTATAAAATTATCAGAAACATTTGATGATCAAGTTGCAGGAAATGAAGTCAGAAAAAGCCAACTCATTAATTCAAATACAGGTCAAATGTTGGATTTGTTTTCGGCCAAAAGTGAAGCCAAGGTGCAGGAAGTGCTGTTCTCCTTCTAATGAATTTAAACTTTTATGTATCAGTTAGCATTTTATACAAGGTTTTTAGTGCATATTCTTCTTAAATTGTGCAGAAAGAAAATGAATTTGTCAGAGAAAAAGATGTTAGCCCAGATGAATTTAGACCTGCAATTGACATCAATGGGAAGAAAACGGGTCCACATTCCATATTAGATACTTCACAACGACAAAAACGAGCAAAACCTAATTTAGACAAAGAACCATGTGATTTTGCTCCAAAAGCTGCACAAAGGGACTGCAAGAAAGAACCCAAGGTTGCTCCAGACGAAGATTTGAACTCCCTGAATTACCCTTTACAAGTTGTTTATCCTAAAACATTATGTATCACTGATACAGAATTTTGCTCCGTTAAAGATAGCAATGGTAATAATTCTGGACTAGTGTTCAACATTGAAAACACCACCCCTTATTAATGCTGAAAATTCTGCATTGATTTCACTGCTAGGGATGCATACCAAGAGTTCATTGTATACTGGGTTACAGCTGATGGATGTAGATGAAGATAAAGGGAAAGAACATGAACAAGACCTTAAATCCCAACTGAGAACTAACCTCAGAAAGTCCAAGATGAGTTTCCCTTCAAAGCTTAAAGCTTCGGAAAAGAAGGAACTGGAACTAAAGGCATTTTCTTCCAGAGAACCATTTGACAGTTGTACGGAAGTTATTCCAAGTGCATCCATAGTTGTATCAGCTAAGAGCCAGCGAAGATCCAAATCCTGTACTGATGTTACCATTTTAAACGAGTCAATGAAGCGGAAGATTATTACTAAAGGGGCAGTGAAACCAGACAAGCATGAGACTGAAGGTCGTGCTATTGTTCTTTATGACAGTAAATTTTCTGAATTACAAAAGAAAAGAAGAGTTACAAAGTTGCCTATCACCGTGGACATACAAAATTCAAGTGTTAATTTGGACGTACCAAATTCAGACGGGGTTTCTATGGACAAAAAAAGCAAGTTAGCTCCTCGTACTCACAAGTCACATTCCTTGGTGGATTCTCATGATGAGACCTTATCTTTGAATAGCTTGTCATTGACTGATTTGAGGGCTATGGCAAAGGAACACAATGTGAGAAAATATTATAAGCTTCGAAAAGTAGATTTGGTTGAACAGTTAGCTCAGCGACTGAGTAGCTGCTGAACTTAGTGTGTTCTGCCTTACTTTTTTGGGTTTCTCTTGGTTGGTTAGGTCCAGGGCTTCCCTGTAATTTGGTATAGGATCCTGACGTAGTCATGAATGATACATAGGCATCAAAAATGGTTTTTGCAACAGGATATTGTACAGCCTATAGATAGAATTCTTAGGGTACTTTGTAAATGAAAGGAAGTATAGGTTTTCTTCCTTGAAGTTGGTTACTCCTATAGGAGACTTAAAACTTAACGTTGGCACCATTAACGTGCTGCTGAGATCCATCGTTAAATATGATGTGCGGGTCGCAACATAGTCAAATTTGGTCATGTATGTGTCGCATTCAGTTTCTACTTTTTCTCCAATTCTTTTTTTATATTTTCTTGTACATAGAACATAGTTTTAATAGGAGCATTTGCTGATCACTTTCAATACATCAATTCGTTCATTTTTTATCTTGGAGTATTCGACCACAGACTCATGGAATCAAATGGTATTTGAAGATCTTTGCTTTGAAGTTTTCCTTACTAAAGGACGAACGTGACAAATGCTTGCGTAATTATAATTGTCACTGTCCCGACAATTACATGAATCGATTTTTTAAGTAACATATGAGCAAGTTTTGGATAATTGAATTATTAATTTTAGTGGATGTTATTTTAAATAAAATAAATGAGGTGAGTATGACTTCATTGGAATACAACTAGACTCATAACAGTGTAATTATTGTACAAAGCTCTAACCTAACATTAGATTTTTAGTAACTAAATTTCCAACAGAATCAGATCTAGTCATGTTCTTCAACAAGATCAATTTTCAAAACTATTTTTTCTCAACATCAAACTTCGTACCTGGATCTCGCCATGTTTGATTTAGGCAACTTCGATTGTCGGTGCTCCATGACTCTATTATCTCCAAAGGAAAAAGAAAAGGACGGTATATACAAAAACAGTAATGCTTAAGTGAGCAAGGACCTCAGAGGTTTTTCAAATGAAGATAGTTGAATTGGATTCTTGGATCTACCCCACTTATATATGAAGGTTGTATCCCAATGAAATTGGATAACTACCACCTCTTCACGAAATTAGGAAAGTTCTGGAATTTAGCAACCTCATAATTATTAGGGTCGTTGATCTCGATATATTTCCCACGGGAGGGATCCTCAGAGTCGGTGGATTTCAGTACCAATATAACCAAACATATTTGAAATATAAATATACATTCAAAGACTATCTTAAATATGTTAGATTTATTCTGCAACTTGATATTTGAGTTCTTGATACCCAATGGTTGTTCTCCTCAAATATACAGTTTAGTACTCCAAAATTGAGGTGGAATTTGGGTAAATAACTTCGTAAGAAAACAAACATATTAAAATAATTTGGAAGCTATGTTTCATTCCTTTCCCTAACTTACTTATTCCATTCCATTCCATTAATGAAAAACAAAAATAATCCAAAAACAGCGTTTCTCTCATTTTGGTCACAATGTTGTAGTTCCCATCAGGCAGTAGTAAATTCTCTGCCAAAGTTTGCCACATAAAGATAGACTCCTGTTGGGTAAGGTAATGTCGTGTTTTTTGGAGTAATCAGTACAATTGCACAGTGGCTTATATTTTAACATATGTACATGCAACATTGTAAAGCAAAATCCTTCAAAAACAATACATTCACGCTCACGAAAAATATTCCCTTTCACAAGTGTTTTCCATATATGGTTCTCTTCAGTTTTTGGTGCGGTTTCTCTACTGAACCTTCAAAGTACTATAATGGACACTGATTATTTTTTATGTTTTAAAATATATTAAAGACTCTTTTAATATACTACTATTAGTGTATTTTGAAGGTTCATTAGAGAAACAATACTAAAAACTCAGTAGAGAATTTGGACTTTTGTTTTTTCCCAAGAGAAAACACTTAGGATTGTCCAAGAAGTGAAGGCTTGTAGAAAACATGGCTTTGTGCAATCTCAATTCGTTCGCGAGGATCATTCAGATTTTCATCCCTCAATGCTTTCAGAATAGCTTGTGATGACTGTTCCCTGAGAAATACATCAAGCACCAGAAGCAATAGAAACTTGCTTAGTACGTTGGCAAGGTGATAGAGATTTGCAAATATAGTAGATGGAGTTGGAGTGTTCAAAGCTAACAAGCATAATAAGGTAAGAAAGCAAACAACCCAAACATGAGTGAACTATTGCATGATAATACCTTGATATCAAAATTTTGTATAGTGTCTTCAAGATGGGACAAAGCTCTACAGGAGCAACTGGCTTGTTTTCTTCAGGATGCAACACATTCAGGCTAGATTGGCTAAGAAGTTCAAAGAATGCCTCAACTGCAGAAACACCCTATAAATGGAAGGGATAGCAGTTTCTTTAGTTATTGGAATTTGATTGAAGGAAAAAACATGAGTCTAAGGAGGAACACACAAGGATGATTTCTATTTCTTATGTGACTGATATTAGTTCCAACTCTGGTGTGGCTTATGTCAAGTGAAAATTGTAGCACCATATTCATCAACCCATCTAAGAATGACCACATACACTTTTGAAAATGAAGAACATATGTACAAATTTCCAGTAAGAATGGTACATAGCATTGTTGTGTTTTGTCCTTACAAGTTAAAAACAAACAACTACTACTAAACTATGAATACAAGTGCAAGCAGAAAAGCAGCAGCCCCTGCCACAGGATCCTTCTAAATTCTCTGTGATGCATAATCATTGAACTTTCACATTTTAAAGATGCAATTGGAACTCCTCAAGAACGTAGCATGGTTTTGGAAGAAACAAGGACAAGAAAAAATTACAAAGTATACCTGAATCATTCCTTTTCCACTAATGCTGTCTCCCATGTCTGGTCTTAATTCACCCTTAGCTAACATCTGGCCATACCAAGCGTTACGGCCTTTCAACAAGGTTACGTAAGTGTCAGCCAGTAACGGCCCTGCAAGTTTCTCTGGTTCTTCAGCCAACAAGTGAGTGATGAATATCATTTCCGATGTGCAGTGTGCAAAGTACACAGATTTGCTTGTGGCACTCTCATTAGTAAGGGCAGCTACCATTCCTGACAACATTAAGAATGAAAAACAGTGTGTGTGTGTGTATATATATATATATATATATAGATTACAAATATGAAAGCAAGTGTAGAATAGAATATGGAAGTTCTTATTATGAAATTAGAGGTAGTTAAACCCTTTTCTTTTCCAAGTAAATGAGAACTAGAGCTAGTCTCTATAGCATGTGAAAACACATAAATGCCTTCATTCAATTTACGAAAGTATGCATTAAACTTTATCTAGATACGTTCCATGCATGGAAAAATTGTATGACTATTTATCACAGATGTTTCCTTTTCTATTATCTTCGGATTGTAGAATCTTTATGAGATTTTTTTTTGCATCAGTTTGTTTTCAAGTATGTGTGAAATAGGAAAAGAACCAACTTGTCAAATAGACAACATTACACAAACCAAAACATGATAATGATATGGATAATGGACTACCTCTAGTTTGATATTAGATATGTGAAGTGATAACAATTATTTAGAAACTTACCAGCTCCAATTGCATAGACGTTTTTCAAACCACCCATGACTTCATGTGTGACGAGGTCACTGTTATCCCAGACAATAAATTGTGGTTGTCGTAGAAACTTTGCCAGAGGTTTTCTCCATTTATCAGCTCCACATATTCTTGCATTGGCATACTCCTTGTTGTAGATTTCTGAGGCAATATTTGGACCTCCAAGATAGAGTATGTTCTCCATTGGCACTCTAGCTGTCAAGTTTGCAGTGCAGAGAGTGGTGAATGAGTGAAGAACTAAAAACATTATTGCATAATAAGAAAGAAGGCTATGACCTATGGTAATACAATATCAGATGAAGGAAAAAAGAGTAACTGCTAGAAAACAAGGATGTGAAGTAATAACTCAAGCATGACACTTTTTTGCTTGGCATCAAATTCTTGGTCAAAAATAGATGTAATTGGGCTAGAGAATTGTCAGAACTGATCTGTAATATGCTTCGGCATGAATATGAACAAGATAGATTTTTGTTGTTAAGTACAGGAAGGTTGAGTCAACAACAACTCCCAAGATTATTGATAAATTTTCATATGTACAAATATGGAAGATTAACTATAACAATATGGACTAAAAGATTATAGTTATTTTAATAATTTCATATTTAAAAGGAAAATTGAACATTATAGTTATTTTATTCCTCATCAAGATTTCATGAGATGATTCATTCCCATAATTGCACAGTTCTCACTGATAATGAAGCATGTTTGGATTAGATTCTTCTTCAAGATTATATCTGCTTGATAGAAAACAATACTGGTGTTACTATTCAGATGTGTTCCTTTTTTGTAATTACTTCAACTAACTTCTTACCTTTTTTCTAGTTTTTTGTTATAAAATGTTATATTAAATAAACCAACCAAAATAACCAATCTCAGAACCACTTTTTACCTAACATATTCAAATTTAAAACTTGTTTCATGTAATCAATTACATTACAACATTAATAGATTATATTTATGATAGATAGTTACATAATTTATTTCCCTCGAGTATCTAAAGGATCACTAAATTACAAGAGGGAAGAAGAAGCACAAGTGACAAAAATGTAATCATCACACTTTTCTGGTTATTCTATTTTGGCAAATGCATGATGTAGATGGATACTTCAGATTAAAAAAATGAACTTTAGGCTTAACTCAATCTCACAAAATCCCAATCATAAGTTATAGATTACAAAAACATAACATGTAAAAGGATAAAGAAAGGGTCTTACTTGCTTGGTGAATCATCTTTGTGGGAGTAATAATATGTGGTAGAGGCTCCAATGCAGCCTCTATACCCTTTGCCAAAGAGATTATCACAGGCACTGTGATTCTCTCCTTCCAATATTTACTTATCTCTTCAAAAATCTCCCTTGTTTCTGTTGAAGGCAAACCATTAACCACAATATCAGCATCCCAAACAGCTTCCTGCAAGTTTGTGACCACCTTCAGAGGACAAAGTGGGGTATCAATCATGTTCAAGCAAAAACCATCTTTCAGAATCTCATCTGCATAAAGGGTCCTATCACCAAGCCTTGCCTCCACATATTTCAGATATGCACAACGCCTGATCAACCTTCTCAGCACATCTTCCCTTGAGTTTATGACCTCAAAGAGATGTTCTGCAGTCCCTCTATCCACTGCCCTTCCTGCTCTTCTCCAAATCCTGATCTGTATCTTGTCCCTGAACTGACCATAAGAATCTTGCAACAAAGCTGCAAAAACACTGCCCCAAGCACCAGCTCCAACACTCACAATTCTCAAAGGGTCACCATCACCCTTCCCAATAAGCCTCCTCAAAGTATCAAGCTTCTCCTCTACCCCATTACAATTCTGACCACCAACACTTCCATTTGAGTATGCATTATGAACCACTCCCATTATGCTTCCCCCTTCTATGCTCTAAAACCCCAACAAAGTCTAGCAGAAACAACTACAAATGAAGGATGAACTTCAATAGCTCTGTCTGCAAACTAGACTCAGACTCTTATATAACCTCCCTCAATCTTGTGCCTCTCACTTTCCCCTTACCGACCAATGAATACTTTTCTTTCAACCACAAGAATGAGATTGAGTTAACAAAACACACATCAATGGGAAATCAAATCCTTTTGGTGGGTGTTGCTTGACCAAAGCTGAGCATTAATTTTGGTCTGAGAAAAATTTCTAACCAGAGAAGCCTATCCTACTCTGAAATTTATTGAAGCATGCAATGCATGAACCATGGTTACTTATATATACACACATACATATAAAGCAGTGCTCTTCAATCTTTCTTCTAGTTCTGAATAATGGCACGTGGGAAGCCAAAAGAATAGGTATGAGGGATGGGAGAAAAAACCAAACACGAAGAAAACTTTGTTTTCTCCGTCTCTTGTTAGTTGATCTACCCAACTATAAGACGCGGCTAGTGCCAATAAAAAACCAATCTTTCGTGCTGCTAACTGCGAAGTTATGGTCCTACACCGATGGGTTGAGTTACTTCAACTCATCTATCTCATGACCCCACTCTATGTATGATTTCTACCTTTCTATTGGTTGAACTTTAGACACTAAAACCACACAACATATAAAAAATCAAATTTGTAATAGAAATTAGACCAAAATGCATTTTTAGTTTAGTCTCTACTTTAAAAAAAATTTACTTAGACCAAGTTTTGTTGTTGTATTAAATATTAACACTTCTCTTAATAAAAGTTCAAACGTTTTGAGAAATATCTCTTATGTTTAAGCATTGATCATTTCATTTATGTTGGTGTTATATATATAACATCCAAAAGGTGCATGAGCCAACTCTAATGGGAGTTGTTCTTTCTCCTTAATTCAAATTGGTAATTTGTAGCAACTAAATACTTTTGGGCAAAAATAATTGATTTTTTTAAATAATTAAAATGATAAAACATTATAAAAAGTATTTCATGGTTAAAGACATTTTGAAATGCATGTTTAATGTTCTCTATGAGTAAAACTAAACTCAACCTTCCTAAGTAAGGTCTCAAATTCAACGGAGGAAAAAACATATTTAGAGAGATTTCATTAAGAAGATCATGGATGTAAAGAAGTGAATTTGTGCATTGAATAAAGTTCCAAATGAAGAAATATAAAATTTTATATTTTTCGTTTTTGACATGTCACATGGATTAAAAAAAAAAGTGTAATGAAAATTGTATTAAGCGTCTCATCTTAATGTGGAGTGATATTGAGAAGGGTGCCACCCATATGAATCTATTGGCATTAAAAGTGTTTGGGTGAGGCCAACTTCCCCAACGTTAATTAATATTAATTAATGTATGACTTTGCTCAAATGTTCATGTGAAGTCTCCTTCCCAATCTTTGAACATGACATGTAGTCATACATTTGTCCTTTTTTTTTTTGTGTAAAGGGACACTCATTTAATGTTCTGCTTCTTATGTCTATGCCTAAGTTTGATTTCATGAATTTGTTGCTTGATGGAGCATTTTTAGCTTGTAGATGAATGTAATTAGATTCATGTATAACTAATTCTCAAGTACTATGCCAGTTTAATTTAGGTGATCCAATTCATTGATTTTGCAACAATGCATAATTAATGTTTACGTGATTATCTCTCTTTGATGTATATACGTTTATGTCAGTATAGGGATTAGGTGTTCCTTAGTTACACCATATCTAAGTTGGATTAATTAGTTCAATTTTTTTTATCAGCAACACCCTAATTATAATGAAACAGAGTCCATTTATGAAGAAAATCATAAAAGAGAACCTATTTTAACTAAGGAGGTAAGTTATTTCATAAAAAAAGTCTTGCAAAATTAAGAAGTAATGAATCTTAGTAATATTTATTATTAATTAATATTATTATTATTTTATTATTACTATTTTATTATTTTTATTTTTATTATTATAATTCTTGAAGGTTACATGCAAATAAAAGATGGTACTATGAAAATTACAGATAGTATAGTCTCATTCATTGAAAACTATACGCAAATTCTCCTAGTTAAAATATATAAATGATGTTTAGCATAAGTTTTTGATTAAAAAAATCTTAATTAAATGAATGCATTGGAAAAAATTAATTTTGAGTATATTTTTTATTCTTAAATATCACTAAGACATCTTTATTCAATATTATATTATATTATATTTTATATATATATATATATATATATATATATATATACACGATTATAAAATTTAATATTTTAAGATCATCTCATTATAATATATCAATATGATATAAAATCGGTCTTATATGAGAATATGTTAAGACATCAACAACCAAATAAAAAATTAGTTAAAAATGTGAATGTTAGAATAGAAGTTGTAAAAATGTATCAAAATGATATGACTAAGTGGAAATTAGAAAAAACAAATTAAGACAATATAGAAAAAATTTTCGTAATAGATATAACCTCCTTATTAATTTTATTAAAAAACTATAAATAAATGAAAGTACGTCACTCGTAACCCTAAAATCATTAATATTAGTCTTAATTTATTTTTTTGTGAATTTCAATTTGAAACAAAACATCTTTACAGTTTTTATTAAAATGGTCTTATAATACTCATTTAATAACTAATTTAATTAAATTATTGATGTTTTTAATATAAATATATTTTTATTCTTATAATATAATCTTTTATTTAATACATTACATTTCATGTCAGGTATAAGTTTTGGATGCCACAATGATAGGTTTTGTGTGGCGATGAGTGAATGGCAAGCCTGCATGTACAGCTGGCAGTGTGTGGCATTGTTGTGGTCAATTTAATGAAACAATTGTATAAAAAATTAAAATTGTTAGGTAAGCATAAAATTGTTAAATTTTTCTTTCACGTGTTAGAGGTTGTTTGCATGGATTAAATAATATGCAAACATTGTTAAACATTTCAGGATTTTTAAAAAGTGTTTAGAAAGTTAGAAAATCAATAATAAAAATAAAATTTATTTTTATAATGGTTCATTATAACTGAATTACGTCTAATTCTTTTTTATGCATTATTAAAGAGTTCCATTATCTGTAAAAAGATACAATAAGTTTTACTACTCTTGGTTTACAACAAGTATAACCACTCCTGATATAAAATAGTCTAACTGATGTTTAAATCCCCCCTCCCCCTGAGTTAAACAACAAAGTGTTTTAAATCATTTTTGAGTATCCAAAAATAACAAAGTGTTTTTAAAACAAGTATAGATTGAGAAGCTCTCTTAGAGAGGAAATCAATACAAATTTTATATGAAAACTTGTTAAAAAGAGTTTTTTTTTTTTAAAGAGTTAGATTATGCAAAAGAATGGTATCGTAAGAGTATATGCAAAAATTGTTGGTCTTATTATCATGCAGTCTTTTTTATATAGGCAGCTTCGAAAAAGACCATTACTCACTCATAAGCATTGACTTTGATGTAGGTGTTGCAGCCTTTTGTACTAGGTCAGATGGTACTTTGCTTTTGCAGAGACAATTGTGCTGCTTGTATGGATTGGGCAGACATAAGGCATTAGAGAAACATTCCTAGAATGTCTTCACATTTCTTAACGTTCTTTTGAACAAGTGCAAAACTTTTGAATAAAATATTTGTCCTTTATGTACCTGCAAAGATAAATAGAAAACAACAAAACAAACAAAGAAGTATTCTTCATACATTTGGATTTAAAATGTTAGACATTCATTATAACGTTTAGCCTAATCCATGTACTATAGTGTTTATGCTAGTTTGTTATCAAATCATTGCGTTTAGAGTAATCTATTGTGTTTATGCTAGACTTTTCTTTTTAGCGTTTAGGATAGACTTGCGTATATTGTTTAATCATATATAGTGTTCAACTTGTTATCCTAAACGATCATTTCTATAAACATCATTTCGCTGGATGCTTTTGTTTAACTTCAAAATAAAGGGTTCCCAAATTTTTAACATGCACTAATAAAAAAAATTTTGTAAAGAAAAGAAAGTTTATGAAACTTTACACTATACAAATACTAAAAACTCTTCTTCACTTTGCACATTTGTCTTGATGTTATTTAAATTTAATATTTTTATACCAGGGATATGATGAGTTTCATTATGTATCTACCACCATTATGCTTGATCAAGTAAAACAATGGTTCATGCATAATTTTATTAAAACTTATAAGTGGTTTTAACTAGGATGATTTTGTGTTGAAGAAACACACTACTACAAAAAAGAAATATTAAATCAATTTTTTTGGACCATATTACATCGACTAGAAAATTGATGTAATATTAGAAAACTAATGTAACATTGAACGATGTAAGGTGGTAAAAATCGATGTAATATCATAAAAAAATGACTTTGATTCATGGTAGATATATTATTTATATTTTATCTTTATCTTTTATCTTTAGTTAGTTTGTTATTATTTCTTAATTGTATTTTGCACTTAGCTCATATTTCTTCTATTATATATACAATACCCTATGTGTATATTCAACACAAGGAAGATTAATTTTATACATAGTTTTTACTAAATTCAATATGGCATTAGAGTCAAGTTCTTTTATATAAAAAATTTCTTCGCCTCTACCACTACATTTGTCGTTATCGGTGCAACATTGTCTACCATCATCGCTATTGAAGTTCTAGTTTTGACTGATGACCACATGATTTTGATCGTCTCAGTTACGTGACCATCGTACCGTCAATGTTGCCTTCATTAGAGCTCTTACACGCTCTAAATGTCTTCCAAAGTTGTGGATCTACTCTCCTTTTCGTCTTGCGTGGTGGTATGTTTGATAGTGATTCATAGGGTTGAGGTTGCCTTTTTTTCCTCTTTCAAGTCCGTCATACGTGGTCACACGTCCCGTCTCCTCTTAGGAAACTATTCAGAGCATTGAGGTCTCTATTTTTCCTCTTCCAGGTGCCTTGATCAGAGAATCTTAGATTTTTAAGGTTTCTCTCTCTTGTTCATCCATGGCTTCTTTCGCTATCTCTTCTAACCTCTCTTTTGTCACCGCTACATTTAGCTCGTCTATATATGTTTTTTCTCCAATGGAAAATATGACTTTTGTTAGTTTATTTATAGCCATGATGGCTCTTTAGCAATGGTCTCTTTTTCCATTAGATATCAATAATGTATTCCTCAATGATGATTTACAAGAAGAGATTTATATGGAGCAACCTCCTAGATTTGTTGCTCAAGGGGAGTCTTTTAGGTTGATATTTCGTCTTCTATGTTGTCTTCATAAATGATTAATAATTTGGTGTCACTCGAGTGTAGAAGCATATGTTTTCACTAAGTCTATATTGATTATATTAGTAGCAAGTTTGGTACATACAATTTGTATACACCAGCTTAAGGGGAAGTGTTAAGTATATTTATCTTTATCTTTTATCTTTATTTTGTTTGTTATTATT